AGATAGATAGATAGATAGATAGATAGATAGATAGATAGATAGATAGATAGATAGATAGATATTTGAGACAGGGTTGCTCTGTCTAACAGATGTTCCCTTTTCCCAAATTGCTCTCTTGTATCAAGTTGGGGGTGACGGGGAACGGGGATGACATGGGGGGGTGCGACACGGACAGACCCACCTAGCCAGCATACTCCCAAATCTGATCAGTAATACGGGCTTATATGTGAATTAAAAACATATAGCAAAAGGTATGTTGGGAAACAGACCAGGAAACCCCTACCTTAGGCGATTCTCTAGGTCTATAACTCGTTCAGTTAGGTCCCAGTTGCCTCTTCCAAGATTCTGAGAATTTGTGTTTTTCAAAATCTTAATTTTCATTAGAGAAGCGATAAGGTCCTGCAGGTTCTTGATGTCGTCTCTCAGGGACATTATCTGTAGCAACTGCTGGGCATTACTCTCTTTGTAACTCTCTAACTCGGTCTTCACTTCTTGCAATGAAGTTTCTTTGATGAAAAGCTTGCTTTGAAGATTTCTCAGCTAATGAGAAGGGGAAAGAAAGTATTACTTAAAATAACTTCTCATCTTACTTTTAAACATTTGTGATACTAAGTTACTGTAACTTAGGTTTGAAGCTTTTCAAACCTATTCCTTAACAGTATATCTTGAGGTTTAAAAGCCCTTTAAGATAAAACACAATGACACAGTATGTTTGGGAAAAAATATATAATTGTATATAATATAATGATATTAATAATAAATATATTTATTAAACATTAAAACTGTGTGAGTCTTTATACTTCTGTAACTACTAAATACAGGAATAATGGATTTGGGAACTTCCAGAAAGGAGCAATGCTTTAGCCTTAGATGTCTTGCTTTTGGTGTGTGACTCACAAGCATGCTCACAGGCCTGTTTTGGTTCCTGATCTTGTGCTGGTAGGGAAAATATAAAGGGGTCAATCCACAGGAAGAGCAAAGTTTAAAAAGGTGCATGTCTTTAATCCCACCACTCAGAAAGCAGAGGCAGGCAGGTCTTTGTGAGTTCAAGTCCAGCCTGGTCTACATAGTGAGTTCCAGGAGAGCTAAGACTATGTAGAGAAACTCTATCTCAAAATAAATAAGTAAGTAAGTAAGTAAATAAATAAATAAATAAAATGACTAGCTATATTTTAATACAAATAAAGGAGAGAAATGGCTCAGTGGTCAAAAGCACTGATTACACATCCAGAGGACCCAGGTTCAATTACCAGCACCCACAAGCTGTCTCACAACTGTCTCTAACCCCAATTAGGGAATGGATACCCTCTCCTGACCTCTGTGAGCACTGGATATGCATGGGGCACACACATGCATGCAGACAAGCAAAGTAATAAAATAAAATTTTAAAATATTTTTTAAAAGACAGAGAAAGGGAAGAAGAGATCAGAAAGTTATGAAAAGAAACAAGAGAGATGGCTTGCTGGGGGAAAAGCAAGTCCAAGAACAACAGAGGTCTGTGAAGGAGAAAGGAGAGCAGTAAGGTGTGGTGGCTCACACCACCAGGAAGGTCAGAAGTGTTCAAGGCCAGCCCCGTCTACACAGTGAAAGTCTGTCAATAATAATAATAATAACAATAACAACCAGTGGAGTGTAGTGGCTCACACCAGCAGGAAAGTCAGAAGCATCCAAGGCCAGCCCTGTCTACATACTGAAAGTATTATTGTCAATAATAATAATAACAATAACAACAACAACAACGCAAACAGACAGTAAGTAAGGCTACAGCGACAGATCTAAACTTGTGCTCAGGCTCCAGATGAAAATGTTTAATGGCATTGACTCATCAGCCATGGATCATCCAGCTGTATCTAGTTAGGTTTTCCAAACAGCAATTTTGCCCTTGATTTCAATGAGTCAAAGATCTCCATGCTGGAATGAACCTACCCGCCAGTTTTCAGGGCTCTTCCTGACAGAGCATGGCACAGGCTGCTAACTAGTTCTCCAAGACCTAAGAAGCTCAGCCCACCAGAGCCCAGAACCACAGGCAACCCAGGACAGTCACAGCCCAGACTGATGACTGACGCATCTCTCCTCTCTCCCAGGACAGGAAGGGCCATGGCTCTAGTAAATAACTTCTGTTCACACTCCTGTGACCACTGAGATCCACCAGTCATGCCGGTCAGCGATCCAGCCCACTGCCTGTGAGAAAGGCAGTCTCCTTGTGAGAAAGAAGTCTCTCTCTTTTGTTTTCTATTTAATGCCCAGCTCTACACCTCAGGGCTCCCAGGCACCCTGACACCTCTGGGTCTGCTTCCTGCTGTATTTGCAGGGACTGGTAATGTGTGTTTCACAGTTTGCGTTTCTCTTCAGTAGTTGCTTGACTGTAGTGGAAAAGTGACATCTTGAGCTACAGTTCTGAGTGAGTGTGCCTTGCTCGACACGAGCCTGCCGTGCCAAGGACAAAGGAACCAGGCCAACCCCAGGTTCAGAAAGGCAAAGCCTTCCTCTGCCCTCCAAGTAAGAGTGTTCATGAAGACTTGATCATTCTGTTCAAAAACCAGCATCTGCAGCTTCGTCCTTCTGGATATTTACTGCCTGAGAGGCTGCTCCACCTCAAAATCCTATGGGGACCAGCTAAGTCCTCCCCCAGTGCCGTATCTAATAAACACACTGAGGTTTCAGATTGTTGTGTTAATAGGTTCGTCTCCATTACAGCATGCACAGCCACCTGTTCTGTGTGTGTGCACACCCAGCTGTTCTGTGTGTGTGTCTGTCTGTCTGTCCTCCCTCGTCACTCCTAGTCAGGGTTGCAGACCCAATTCCATGGGGTTAGAGTTGACCCAACCAACATCTCTGGGTTTGCTAGTAAGCAAAATACATGGCTCATTTAAGATCTACAGTGAATGCCTGTGCTGTCGGCGAAATTTCACATCTAGGCAGGGCCAGCATTTGTGGAAGCAGCTAGAAGAATGTGCGTCTCATCCAATCACAGTCGGTGGTGGGCTCCCTTATTGACAGTGTGAGTGACAGGGAACATGGTCTTGCATCCCTTGTGTAGGACACTAAGTTCACGGGGGTAAAGGGAAAGCAAGCGCTAGACCAATAGTGATTTCATTACAACTCCAGGAGGTTTCTGCCGACATCCTAGACAGTGCAGCTTCAAGGCGGATGAGTGAAGGAAAGCAAGTGCCCTTCAGAGACCCGGATGCATTCCTTGCTGCATTGGGCTGCACTCAGTGACTGCAGTGGGCCGTTGTACTGATGGTCTTCTTTGGGACAGTCTTGAGGGGCTGAAGGATGGGGACACCGAGACGGACAGGACGTGACCCACAGTACGTCACCTGTTTTATTCAGGAAGTCCTCCTTCTTCCACACAGAGCGAAAGCACCCGCTAACCTGGCAGGAGACAGTAGGTTTGATTTCCAGCACCCGGTACCATGCCACGGTTCGCAACTGTCTAACACTAGTTCCAAGGGCCTGACATCCTCTTTTAACCATGCAGGCAAACACCCATACACATAAAATAAAGGGAGATCTTTAAAACACATTGCGTTTACATCCAACTTATAATATCCGACTTTATGTGTTAGTAGTGGCTTCTTAGCTCATTACTACAGCCCACCTATGCAAGAGTTTTATCTCAATACCGTGTTCCCTAAACAATCACCAACTGAATAGGCTTGAATTTATGCCTTCTATATCTGGCCTCACCCAAATATAGATCTCTTGCACCTGTTTCTTCGTTATAGGACAGAAACACATGGCAATTATTTTTGTATGTTATATAAAGAGATCGGGTTAATTATAACAAAAAATTGAAATGCGTGTCGTGAAGAGAAAAGCTGCCTTACGAAGACAATTGGGGCGCTGTGGGGCTAAATGGTAGGTTGCTGAGGAAGGCAAAGATGACTCATGCTGAGACTCAGGTATCTTGTTGGAATCACCAAGCTTCCTTTTCTAACATTAACAGGAGGATACCGTATAATAATAAATGTCACTAAATTTTTACTTGGAGACAAGGTCTCATTAGGCAATCCAGGCTGATCTTAAACTCGGCATCTTATTTACTCAGCCTCCTGGGTACTGGCTCTCCAGGAGCGTTCAGCCAGGACTGGCTTGATTTTTTTTTCTTTTTTAAATTGTATTTATTTGTGTGGGAGTGGATTGGGGTTGGGAGGTACGCGTCACGGAACATATGCAGAGGTCAGAGGACAACCTGCAAGAATTGGTTCTCTCTTTCCACCACGCGCGTCCTGGGGTTCAACTCAGGTTGTCAGTCTTGGCACTGGGCACCCTCACCCAGTGAACCATTCCTCTGGCTCTGGCTTGAAATTTTTATTAAATTTGAAAATGCCAATAGGAGCTCTGAAATACTTCTTGGGGGAGGGGGAGTGTAGTCGGAGATCAAACTCGGGCTTGCACATTGCTGGGCATGTGCCTTACCACTAAGTTTCATCCATAGCCCTGAGTAGCCCAGGCTAGCCTCTGATGTAATCCTTCTACAGAAACCTCCTGAATGCTGGACTTACAGGTGCACTTCACCTCACCTGGATGGAATACTTTTTAATGCATGTGGTATCTAAAACCATGTCAAAATGACCCTAAAGGACCCTTTAGATGTTTATATATGTACAGAGGATAACTTCAAAAAAAAACAATACTTTGAAAGTCAGGCATGATAGTGAGCCAGGCACTGTGGCACCCGGCTGCAGTCTGAGCTACTTGGAAACCTAAAGAAGAGAATCAGTTGAACCAATGAGTTCAAGATCAGCCAGGACCACATAGTGAGACACCATCTCAAAACAACCAACCAAAGAGAATCTTTGAAATTCTTGAAAATAATTTACATATATTCTTTAAGGTACCTGAAACCTTTCTTGGGAGTTTGGTTGAAAAGCTTCTTAAGGGTCAGAAAGATGGCTCAGCCGATGAAGGCTTTTATTGCCAATCTCAACAAGCTGAGCAGCATCCCTAGGACCCGCATGGTGGAAGGAAGGGTGACTCTCTCCAGCTCTCGGGAACTGAAGCAGGAGGATTGCAAGTTCAAGGCCATCTTGAGCTACCTAGTGAGAGTCTACCTTAAACAACAAGCATCGACCTTTCTATAGTCACACCTTATAGTTCAGTTAAAAATAGAGTGCTTGCCTTATATATGCCAGGGGGTGAATGCACACACGCCAGCCTACTACTAATGATTGCATCCAAGTCGAATCTAACAGGACCCCAAACTTTTCAAGCGTTTTTACTAAGTCATACTGTAGAGAATGATGCTTGCCACCTCCCTGTTACTGCAGAAGGTGCCACAGCCTGTTGGGCGGAGAGGAGTCCTGGATCCTGAAGGCAGATCTTTCCTAATGTTCCTGCATGCGAACATTCCTTCCTCCCCTCTCCTTGTTGCTCTGATCTCTCTCTCCTCATCTCAAACCTGTGTTTGCTTTTTTTCTCTTCAGATCAAGAGCGAACAGAGACCTGACTCTATGTTTTAGAAAATCTGATCGCTCAGGAGCCCTTCCTCCTAGCGCCTTATCACACGTGACAGATAGGTTTATTTTATTAAGCCTGGCTTGTTCTAACATCCTGATGGCCCATTTACTGTGTTATTATAATGGTAATGTGAAAAATAACAGTAGTTGTTTGGTCAACTTGACACAAACTACGGGTCATCTAGGAAGAGAAACCTCAACTGAGAAAAATGCCTCCACTAGATCAGGCAAGTGGGGGGCATTTTCTAGGAGGATAATTGATAGGGGCCCAGCTCACTGGGGGCAGTGTCACCCCTGTAGGAGAAAGTAGGCTGAACAAGTAAGTAAACAGTACTCCTCCATGGTCTCTGCTTCAGCTCTTGCCTTCGGGTTCCTGCCTTGACTTCCCTTTATGAAGGACTTCCGATCTGTAACGTGAAATAAACCCTTTCCTCCCAAGATTGCTTTTATTCATGATGTTTATCACAGCAGTACAAAGCAAATTAGAGCCAGGCGGTGGTGGCGCACACCTTTAATCCCAGCGCTCAGCAGTCAGAGGTAGGCGGAACTCTGAGAGTTCAAGGCTCAGCCTGGTCTCAAAAGGGAGTAAACTAGGACAACGCGTGCACGTGTGTGTGTGTGTGTGTGTGTGTGTGCGCGCGCTGTATGCATTCATGTTCGTGGGGGGGGGGTTTACACAAGTGTGTGTGTGTGTGTGTGTGTGTGTGTGTGTGTGTGTGCTGTATGCATTAGTGCTCGGTTCCCAGCACCCACATTTGGTAGCTCACAGTCGCCTGGAACTTCAGCTCCAAGAGACCTGACCCCCCTCTCCTGACCCCCTGAGGCACCTGCATGCATGTTCAGAGACATACACAGATTCACACACATAAATATAACTAAAATTAATCTTCAAAAATGGAGGAGGTGCAGAAAAAGGAGGTGGGGAGTGGAGGAGAAGGGGGGGACTTGAACAAAGATGCTGGGGGAAACACCAGGATAAGATCACCGTCTACAACCTAAAAAGAAACATCTCAGGAGAAAGGAACCCACTGGCCCCTTGTCTCATACTTCTAGCCTCTGTGACCGCTAGAAAACATTGCAGTTTAAGCCCTCGGTTTGATGCTTTGCTATAGTCGCTGTGGAGGCAAATGTGGCCGCAGTCAGATTTGCTCGCCCAACTGGCTGGCCCCTGTTTGAAGCATTCTGAGGATTCTACTTGAAGGTCACCACAGAGAAGTCGAACAGAAGGAACAGTGAAGAGCCCTTCACGGTGACAAGGACCAGTGATCCTCCAACCACAGTTACTAGAAGGCTGTCTCTCCGTCAACAAACCTTGGGAATAGTTAGGCTCAATTAAAGAATTCCTACAAGCGCTTCCCAGGGCTTCATCACAGGGCGTAAAAGTCAAGGCAGTTCCTATGAATGTGGTTTGGATGTCGTCACTCAGATTCTTACCAAGTATTAAATAAAACTAATGGATATTTGCTGCGGGGGTAGGGGAGGAACACTAAAGAACTCATTTCTTCCACTAAAATTATTTGGGACAGGCAGTGTAGCTCAGTGGTAGAATATTTGTCTTGATTGTGCGAAGTCCTGGGTTAGAATTTCAGCCATTACACACACACACACACACACACACACACACACACACACACACACACAAGAGAGGCGGGGGGAGATGCTTACACATATTGATTATTATTATGCCACAAGTTTTATCTACTTTTAAATATTTTTTCATTTTATATCTGTGGATGTTTTGTCTGAATATGTATCTATGTACCACACATGTGTCTGGTGTCTGCCTGGTGTCTTGACTAGAGATGGGATCAAATCCCCTGGAACTGGAGTTACAGACAGTTGAGAGCCATGTGGTGTTGGGAATTGAACACAGGTCCTCTGGAAGAGCACTCAGTGCCTTAACAGCTGAGCCAGCTCTCCACGTCCAATGTCAAAAGTTTCAAGAATGATATCTCACAAGTAGTATGCTGACTTCCAAAGTTGGCTATCAGCTCAAAAACCCCTGAACTAGGCGCTTCACTCCATAGGCGTGGCAAAGGAAGATGTGAGTCTAAACTCTGCTCTGCCATGATGAGTGAGTTCGATGCAGAGGGGAAGGGACGAAACTGGGTTAAGAAAATGCCTTGTGCCTTTAGTAGCTAGCAGAAATTTCTCTCCTAAACATTTACAGAAGATATAATTCCACCGTTTTGTTTCTCATAAACATATACCTCAGCTAAAAGAGTCTTGTTTTTCACCAACAAGCTGGCAAGGTCAGGATGGACTTGGTCCGTTGCCTTATTGTTGTATGTGATTGGGTTCCTGGTAGGAACCACTTCAAGAGGTGGATCAAAACGGGCCTATAAAGAGAAAGGGCCAGTTAATTAACTAAGTATGTGCCCTGAGGATCAAACCCACAATCGTTAGCACACACAAACTCTTACAATAAGTAGCGACAAACGGAACTGTCCTAATAAACTCAATGGCTTCCAGGAAAATGGCAAGCATCTTGCTGGTTGGAAAAACGGCTTTACATTCTTCTAAACAGAATGCTTACCTGCCAATAGTTTCTACTAGCCGGAAGCAAGTGCGGCCTGTCTGAATCGTGTGCTGGGGTCTCTGAAAGTACAGGAATCAAGAAAACACAGAAAACCCCTGGAGACATTTCCACGTGTGTCTGCTAACACTATAAAGGGCTGGGGAGGAGGCTCAGCAGGCAAGAGCTCTGGCTGCACTGGCTTGAGGTCAGGAGCGCAGATTCCTGCATCCGGGTAACAAGTCCTGGTCCTGAATACAGCTGTCGCCTTCCCTGAGCAGGTGAGAGTGGAGACAGGATTATTTCTGGGGCTTGCAGTCTGCCAGCCTAGACAGACAGACAAATAACCGCAAGCTCCAAGCTCAGGGAGTGACCCTGCCCCAGAGGAATAGAGTAGAGGATCATGAAGGAGGACATCCAGCTGCTTTTCTGACCTCTAAGCGCATGTGCAGATGTACACAGATGCACACATATGTGTACATACACCACACACACACATACATACAAATACATACACTGTAAGAATTTTTAAAAATAGCTTCTGAAGAGACAACTCAGCAGTTCAGAGCACCTGTGGCTCTTGCAGAAGACCTGAGTTCGATTCCCAGCACCCACATGGTGACTCACAACTATCTGTAACTCCAGTTCTAGGGGATCAAATAACCTCTTCTGACCTCCAAGGGCACCAGGCATGCATGTGGTGCAAATACACACATGAAAACAAAATATCATGCACATAAAATATATCTAAAGAGGAAAAAAAGTGAGCAATAGTCCCAAGGGACTGAAGAGATATTAAGAGCTCTATGCTGCTCTTCCAGAGGATCCGGGTTCAGTTCCCAGAAACCAACCTGAGTGGTTCACAATCACCTGCAATTCTACCCAAGAGATCTGATTATTGCTTCTGACCTCTGAGGGCACCTATACTCATGTGCAAACACACACACATGCACAAACACACACGCACGCGCAAAATAAATATTTTTCTTTAAAAAAAAAAGTAGTTTCTAAAAAGAAAAGAAAGGAAAAAAGGTAGCTAATGGAAAACCAGACGTGGTGGCACACACCTGCTATCCTAGCATTCAGGAGGTGGAGAGAGAAGGATAAGAGACATTCCTGGTCATTCTCAGCTATGTGCTGCGTTTGAGAGCAGCCTATAAGACAGATAATTACAGACAGCAATCAAAGTGATTTCTCACTAATTACACAGAAACTGGAAAGCAGCAGAATCGTAACTTTAATGTACTAAGAAAAAGTATCATCTTTCATCCATTCCGAGAAGTATAAATTTTAATACTTTCCCTTTTGCTGTGTGTGTGTGTGTGTGTGTGTGTGTGTGTTTGCGTGTGTTTCCTTAGGTGCTGTCCACCTTAGTTTTTGAGATGTCTCTCACCAGCTTTTTGCTCGTCCAGTATCTGTCTGTACAAGTCTCTACAGTGCTCAAATTATAAGCACATTTGGCTTGTGCCTATGGGTTTCATGTGGATGTCGGAAACTGACCTCAGGTCCTCGTGGTTATGATATAAGCAGTTTACAAAGGGAACTATCTCTCCAGCCACCCATATTGTCTTATCTTAGCAGTTGGGGTGGTATCTTAAAGAGGAGACAGTTCATATTGTTCATACTTAGCTGGAAACGTACTTTCAAATTTACAATAGTGCATAAAATAAACGTATTTCCTAAAAATCAGTGAAATACCAGAAATGTCACCCAGTATATCACACTGAATTAAATTATATTTGGGTGTTTGCTTGTTTGAGACAAGGTGTGACCCTCCTATCTCCCAAGTACCTGAGTTACATGCCTAGTTTATGTTTTAAGATTAAGAATAGATGCCCGCAGTGGTGGCACAGGTCTTTAATCCCAGCACTCAGGAGGCAGAGGCAGGCAAATCTCTGAGTTCGAGGCCTGGTCTACAAAGAAAGTTCCAGGACAGCCAGGGCTACACAAAGAAACCTTGTCTCAAAAACAAAAAAGAAAAATAAAACCAAAGAAACCAAAAGAATAAAATAAAGATATTTTATACAAACAAACGTTGAGTCTACTACAATATGTCTTTACTTTAAAAAGCTTCTGGCGAGCATACATCTTTACTCAGCACTTGGGAGGCAGAGGCAGGCAGATCTCTGAGTTTAAGGCCAGCCTGGTCTAATGAATAAGTCCCAGAAGAGCCAAGAACAGCTAAGGCTACATAGAGAAACCCTGTCTCAAAACAAACAAAGGAAAGAAAAGAAAAAGAAACCACAAAAAGAACCCAAGCATTTCTAAAGATGAAAGAAAACAAACAAAAAGGAGAAGACATGCTAGGTCAACCACAGAATGTTACCAAAAACAGTGGGGAGGGAGTATAGAAAGAAAAAGAAAATAGCAGTAGATGATGTGAGTACTGAATTGTAATATATGACCTAGAAAATAAAGATACTGGACCAAAAGAAAATGAAAACGAAAACAAAGGCTGCACTAGAGGGATGGTCCAGTGCTTACCTCCAGGGCTGATGGAGCAGAGACGGGAAGGCTGAGTTGCTGACTTCTAACCTAGCAACCATATTCAGAGAGACACTGCCTCAAAAGAGTAAGACAGAGGGTGACAGAGGAGGCTACCCAACTCCCTGTGTAGGCACATGTGGACATACACCACACATAATTACACACATCACAAATGTACAACACACACACCCTAGAAAAGCAGTGTAGTGTTTTGAACAAGGAATGCCCCCTCCCCACACTCGCTTGGGCTCAAGCATCTGAACACGTGGTCCCCAGGTGGTGGAGCTGTTCGGAGAGGTATAGGGAGGCGCTTCCTGCAGCGCTGCTGGAGGAAGCGCCTCCCTATGGGAGAGCTCAGTGAACTTAAGCTCTCTCCCACTTCCAGTTGGATCTCTGCTCCGTGTTTATGGTTGACACGTGATGGCTCAGCTTTTGCTCCTGCCATCATACCTGCTTGCTTGCTGCCGTTACTCCCCGCCATGATGGACTCTTACCCTCCAGAGTCGTAAGCCAAAATAAACTCTTCCACAAGTTTCTCTCTGTTGTGATATTTTATCATAGCAACAGAAAAAGTAACTAATACAAACAAGTTTCCTTTCTTTCTCTTTAAAAGTGTTTTATATTTATTTATTTATCTAGAGACATAATCTCACTATGTAGCCTGGGCTGTCCTGGCACTAGCTCTGTAGACCAGGCTGGCCTCAAACACACAGATATACACCTGCCTCTGCCTCCCGGGTACTGGAATTAAAGGTGTGTGCCACCACCACCCAGCCCCAAACTGGATCTTAAGTATACTTGCTCTCAAAGAAAATGTGCTGTTTCCTTTGACTTTACTGTTGAGACAGAGACTCACTATATTGCCCAGGACGACCACTTATTTGTGAATTCCAGTGGCCCTGCTGGTGATTCCGTCTCCCAAGCAGCTGAGATGACAAGTATATACTACTATGCATTACAGTGTGTTGTTTGAAATCTGGATCTCAAACCAGGCATCTTGTGTTATGATGTCGTAGTTAAAATTAATTAAAAATAAGATGACAACTACTTTATTAATATAAATGTTATACTGTTTATATTCACTATATAATATTGAAAATGGCAAAGTCCTGTTTGTTTGTTTGTTTGTTTGTTTTGAGACTAGGTCTCATGTAGCCCAGGTTGGCTTCAAACTTACTATATAGCTGAGAATAACTTTGAATTTTTGACCCTATTGCCTCTGATTCCCAAATGCTAGGGTTACAGGCATGTGTGCCACACCTGAGGATCCAACCCCAGGGCTGTCCACACTCCAGGGAAGCGTTCTACCGACTGAGCTGTACCTCCAACCACACCAAGTGCTTTCAAATTCCCAGACATACTCAGGAGCACTGAGACCCTTAGAATTCAGCTGCTAAGATTGAAGAGCAGTATTATTTTGCATTGTGTCACTTACTTAAAATTGTTAATTAATGTACAAAATCATGGTTTTCATCATGACATATTAGATACTTGGCTTCTATCATTTATTTTTTAATGCAATGTTTTTCTTTTCCTAATAAAGACACTAACTAGGTTCGCCTTCATTTCAAACCATAGAAAACATAATACTTCCTTAAATCTCCATCTGCATCTCTCCAATGCTCAGCTCAGGATTCATCCTCTAGCAATAGTAGGATAAAGACTGGGTGGATCTTTCTGGTGCTCTTGAAATGGAAGGGTTATCATCTGCTCTGAGAAGATTGAAACTCCAGAAATATTCCCATTAAGGTCACAAAACTGGCCTGTAAACCCAGCAGCACTATAGTGCACTAGAGAGATAGAATTGGACCATCTAGTGTTGCTACTAAATCACCGTGGTGGATCCCAAGTGGGGTTTCCTGATCTACAAAATAATGATCAGAGATCCTCTGCCGGTTTCTCATTTTGACTGGGAGTAATGGGCACTGGTAAACTGAACTACCAAAAAGGCAAACCCAAAACGTACTGGAGGTCTCACTAGATCCAGTTGTTTCACGTTTTCTTGTTACACCGAGGAATCAGCCAGGGGCAGGGTGCCCCAGATGGCTCAGCAGGTAAAGGCACTTGCTGCTAAGCCAGAAAACCTGAGTTCTGTTCCTGGGACCCACATGGTGGAGAGAACTGACTCTCGCAGGTCATCTGTCCTCTGACCACCGCCACACACACACAAGAGACAGAATTTAAAAAGTATAAGTTGGAGAGGCCTGGTATGGTTGCCTACGTGTACTCCCAGCACTAGGGAAACAGAGGCAGGAGGATCAGCGTTAAGCGTGAAGATCGCCTGACTGCATAGCGTCAGGTCAGTCATGCAGACAGTCAGAGCTAGGTATGGGGGCTCACACCGACAGTTCTAGCACTTTAGAGGGTGATGGAGGAGGAGACATAAATGCGAGGGGTAGCCTGGGCTATCTGGTGAGACTATGTCTCAGAAAACAAAAAAGTGGGATGTTTAACCTTTTCTTCTTTTCTTTGCATTTGCTGCACATGTATGATGGAGCGTGTGCCCCAGATTGCATGTGGTGGTCAGAGGCCAACTTTCTGGAGTTGGTTCTCTCCTTCCACCTTGTGGAAGGACTCAAACTCAGGCCATTGGGCTAATGCACAAACAGCTTTACCTGCTGAACTCTGCCAGCAGATCCCTGAATTTATCTTGTGTGATTTCCTAGCAAAGAAATGCGAAGTTCACCAGCGAATGGGCAGCCAGGAGCGAACCTCCCCTTTCTTAGGTTAGCTCTCAACAGCAGCCAAGTGATATTTTACTTCCTTTGGAAAATGGGGACCAAATACCAGGGTACCACTCACCCCTGGGACATTTTCCTGAGCTGATAGAGGTGCTAGGTGCCCGGTTTCTGGTGGTTTCATCTCACAGGCCTCTTTGGTTTGGCTGTCGGCAAGCCTTCCTGGATCTGAGTGACTTAAAGCCTGGAGTGGCGTTGCCATGCTGGAGATACAGCAAGCGTGAAACGGAGCCGCTAACGGTGAGCCACGGTGCTTCCAAGGGAAGTTTCTGTATAGCACTCAGGAAGAGGTGATGAGGCCTGGCCTGAGCCAACAGCAAAAATGGCCAGAGAGTTCCAGTAGAGTCTCAGTGCGTAGTCAGGCCGCAGGAGGAGCTGCCTGCTGAGCTTGATTCTTCAAGACAACGTGGACCTAGTTTCTAAAGAGAGTGTAGAATTGTTGAAGTGTCATTTGAATACACACACACACACACACACATCATTCTTAATGCTATGTCATAGCTTTATGACTTGTGAATTTCCCTCATTTTCAATTTTTCAGTCTATCAGAAATGCCAACTACAGCACTCAAGAAATAGCCAGACCATAAAAACTCAAACATGAATTGATAAGATGCATACAGTCGTTTATGCTCTTTATGCCCCAGAGGAAAACGTAAACATAACCTCATGTTACTTTCTTGTTTGTTTGTTTGTTTCCAGACAGGTTTTCTCTGTAGCTTTGTCGCCTGTCCTGGAACTAGTTCTTGTAGACCAGGCTGGCCTCAAACTCATGAAGATCTGCCTGCCTCTGCCTCCTAAGTGCTGGGATTAAAGGCGTGTGCCACCACCACCCAGCTCACATTACTTTCTTTTCAGTGTTAAGGATCACCCAAGGTCCTTGAGTGCGCTGGTGTTACTGGAGGTCAGGGTCAGAGCTGGGTATTTCCAGGTTCTCTGTTATAATGTATGTATACATATTGTGTGTGTGTGTGTGTGTGTGTGTGTGTGTGTGTGTATAATGTATGTATACTTATTGTGTGTGTGTGTGTGTGCCTGAGTGTCTAATATATGCACTGTATATATGTATGAGCCCTCAAGGGTCAGAAGAGAGCACTGTGTCTCCCGGAACTGAAGTTGTAGGCAACTGTGAACAGCCATGTGTGTGCTGAGAATCAAGCCTGGGTCACCTCCAAGAGAAGTGAGTGTCTTTCATCACTGAGTCCAGGGTTCCCGGATTCCTGGTATCTTATTCAAAGCACTGGAACAAGCACAACCAATTTGCTGAGAAACAGAAACTCTGTCTGAAGCAGAGAGATGGCACAGATCAGAATACACTGGAGTCGTGGGCCACACAGGTAAGGATACACAGGGGCCTGGTTCCTAATTTAGGGCTTTCTTTTATGGAGGTTCAAGAGAAGGAAAAGGCCAGTAAGGTGGTTCAACCATTTAAAGGTGCTTGCCACTAAGTCCAGAAAACTCAAGTTTGATCCCCAAGACTCACCTGGTAAGAGAGTCCAACCCTTGGAAGCTGTTCTCTGACCTCCACATGCATGTTGTACTATATATAAGTTTTTGTGTGCATGTACACACTCACACACACACAAACACACACAGTTAGTTGTCCTCTGACCACCCAGGTACACATGGTAAGTACACATGAATGCATATGTAATTAATTATTTTAAAATGGAAGCTGAGTTCTATCTAAGTTTATCCAAGGTTACAGCTTACTCTCTACAACTCTCTGAATCTCCCTCACACTCTCTGTGTGTCTTACTTTCTTACACATAATACATAGTTTGCTACGATTCACTTATTAGAAAGAATAAAGCGTATTTTTACTTTTTTACCATTTTGCGATCAAGAGAAAATCTCAAATCCAAGATCAGTTTCCAGGAGACACCCCCAATGAGTGGCCGTACTGCACAGTTTGCCAGTAGAATGTTTGCACGTCACGGAAACCGTTGCTAGGTGAACGCATCACAGATGAGCAAGGAAGGCAGGGACCCTCCCAGAGTGGCAGTTACACTATGGTTATTGTCCTATACCATGCCAGCACGGTCTGGAACCACGAGTCTCGGTGGAGGGTGTCCAGGTTGAATGAATCCACAGAGCACGAGGTTGAGGTGTAACAGCAGCTTGTTTATTGTTCTGCTGGGGCTAGCTTTTATACCATGGCACCAAAAGAGGAGTGGGCTGCGAAGGGACTGTCACCCGACCCAAGCAGGGACTCTCACCTGACCCCAGTAGGGGTCAAGGAATAATCACGTGCACTCAAACTTCCTCATCCAACTCCAGGAGCAGAGGGAAGTTATGATTCTTTGCAGATAAGCACCTCAAATGGGGGCAGGGAAATATAACTCGGGGCAGCAATTCCCACAGTCCTAACTAAGGAAGTAAAAGGAAAAGTTTTTTTCACTAAGTGTTAGTGAACAAGACAAACCAAACAAGTAAAAAAAAAAAAGAACAAGGCTTAAGAAAGTGATCTCACCAAAGTGAACACGCACCTATCATAGCATCCTGTTTGCAGGCTACTGTGATGTTCTTAGGATAGATCAAGTGGTTACACTGTGATACATATATGTGTGTGTGTGTTAGGTATGTATATGTGTATGCATATATGTAATATATGTGTTATATATGTATATATTATGTGATATATATATATAAAACACATGATCCTTAAGAGGATAGAAAAATTATTTATCTCAAAAACTGGAATTTTTATTCCAAGAAAATAATTTCACAGCAGTGGAAGTTTGTTCCTAATGTGTGTATATTCTTGATGCGAGAATTGCAAAGAATACACGCCAAATATCAAAGAGTACGGATAGCCTGATCTCATTCCAAGTTCTTAGATAAGGGTGGAGCCTGGGCATAAGTATTTTCTACTGGGTATAAGTAGAATGGCTCTAAGGCCATTCAAATGTAAATTTAGAGCCACCCACTGTCTTTATTTATGGACAATAAAAATTAAGGAGAGGTGCGTGGTGGTGGTGGTGCACACCTTTAATCCCAACATTTGGGAGGCAGAGGCAGGCAGATCTCTGAGTTCGAGGCTGGGCTGGTCTACAGAATGTGCTCCAGGACAGCCAGGGCTACACAGGGAAACCTTGTCTCAAAAAAAAAAAAAAATTAAGTAGAAAGAAATTAAGGTTCACAAGAATGAGAGTAATAGATAATTAAACCAGGAAAAGCAAACTTTTCCTCTATAAATTTTTTCAAATAATACCCACTGAGGTTTGGGTTTCCACAGAGCTGAGAGACCCTGGGCTTTCACTGCTGATAAAACTAGACTGCATGCTGAGGTCCTGCTTTTTCTGCCGGTTTAGTCTTTAAACTGGCCGAAGAAAAGAAGCTGCCCAGCGACACTAGATGACGTCATCCTGACAGCACAGATGTGTGCCGTGCCTGTAATCCTAGTGCTCAGGAGGTAGAGGCAGGAAGGGTAGAAACTGTAGGCAGTCCTCAACTACGTGGAGTTCAAGGCCAGCCTGGGCTACGGGAGACTGTCTCAAAACAAACAAACAAACAAACAAACACGACCAGAAAAAATGGTTTATACCTGCACAGGAAGATTGGAAATTTGATGCAACCTAGACTGCACAGTGAGATCACATCAAAAGACTTAGAAGTAATAACAAAACAACACGGAGTGTGTGTTACCTGTCTCCACATGCACAGCCACTAACTCTGTAACAGTGAGCTAAGTTATAATGGAAAGCTTTAGTCTTTATTACAATTAATATTCTGATTGAAATGTTGTTATATCCTTTTCTCTGTGTAAATATTACTGTTGGATAAATTCTTGGAGCTGAAAACTCAAAGTAATTACACATCTAGATTATTTTTCAATAACAGAGAATCTATTTCGCCTAGACCAGTCTTGTACCTCCCAAGTGCTGATTTCATAGGTATGTGCCATCCCAACCTGATACAATAACAAATTATATATATGTTATATATACATTATATACATATATAATGTATGAATCAGGGTCTCACTTATATAGCTCTAGCTGGTCGAGAACTCTCTCTGTAGATCAGTCTGGCTTGAGCTCACAGAGATCCTCCTGCCTCTGCCTCCCACCTGCTGAGAAAAAAGGCATGCGCCACAACGTTTCATTTATTTACTTACTTACTTACTTACTAATTTTTTATAGAGATTTTATTTATTTATTATGTATATAGTGTTCTACCTTATGTGAGCCACCATGTGGTTGCTGGGAATTGAACTCAGGACCTCTGGAAGAGCAGCCAGTGCATTTAACCTCGGAGCCATCTCTCCAGCCCCACATTTAAATTTTTGATAGCTATTATGAAATTAAAAAGGAGCCCGGGCAAGAACGATACACACCATTAGTAGTGACTGTCATTATTAGCATTTCAATATTTTGTCTTTCTAGTCCCAGAAAAATGATCATTTTTGTCTTTACTTATTTGCCCTGTCTTTAGTATTTGGCAGGATTGCCTCTCTTTCTACAAAATGTGTCATTTGCTTTCTATTTGCGGGGGATGGAGGGGTCTAGACAGAATTTCTCTATGTAACAGTCCTAGCTGTCTTAAAACTCACTCTTGAGACCAGACTGGCCAGGCCTCGAACTCACAGAGATCCTCCTGCCTCTGCCTCCCAAGTGCTGGGATTAAGGGCGTGCACTACCACCACCCAGCACCTCATTTATTTTCTAAGACAACAGGTTTTTATGGTTTTTCTCTCATCTGTTGGGCTTCTCCTTTTTCATTCCTTCTTCCCCTAACTCCTCGTCTTTTGTAATTCTTTTTTCTTTCTTTCTTTTTTTTTTAAAGATATGTAAGAAGGGATCTGGAGTAGTGACTTAGTGATTAACAGTGTTGGCTCCTCGTCCTGAGGACCTGAATTTCAGTTGCAGCATCCATATGATGACTCACAACTGCCTGTGTAACTCCAGTTTCAGGAGATCTGACAAACTCTTCTGGCCTCTGGATGCACCAGGCATGCAAACTGTGCACAGACATACATGCCAGCAAAACACCCAAACACGTAAAATAAAAGCAAATAAATTAAAAAAAAAAAGAAAGATGTGTGTGAAAGGTCTCACATGGGGGTTCAAGGAAACACTGAGATGAATTGTTAGAGAGTAAGAAATGTATTAGAGATTGCTCAGTGGTTAAGAGCATTGACTGTTCTTCCAGAGGTCAGGAGTTCAATTCCCAGCAACCACATGGTGGCTTATACCATCTGTAATGAGATCTGGTGCCCTCTTCTGGTATGCAGGCATACGTGCAGGCAGAACACCATATACATAATAAATTATTATGCTTAGTGTTCTGTGTGCATATACACATGTAAACCAGAAGAGGGAGCCAGATCTCATTACAAATAGTTGTGAGGCACCATGTGGTTGCTGTGGTTGAACTCAAAACCTCTGGAAGAGCAGCCAGTGCTCTTAAATCCTGGGCCATCTCTCCAGCCCATAAATAAATATATTATTTATTTATTTTAAGTATTAGAAGAGCTATTAGTACCATGGACAAACAAACACAGACAGCAGCACGGCAGTCACTCTGAAGAGAGTTCAAACCCCAGGACCAGAGACAAGACAGCATGGTGGGGACTCTGAAGAGAGGAAAATCAGGGCTCCTGCGGCAGAAGCAGGATTCTCTTAGTGAGGCCAGGTACAGCTCAAGCCCGCAGCCAGGCCCTCCCAGGGGGGGGGGGGGGATGGCAGAGAAAGGGGTGGGAAACAGGAAGTGCAGCTGCTCAACAGGCCTGGATGTAAACTCCCTCCCCCAGGTCAGAGCCCGCCACCTGGAAGTCTTAATTAGAAACTCAGTAGTGTGCCTGCGGGTATCTGTGACAGAGAAAGAGATACTGTAAGGTCCCGTAGTCTGAGCAGCAGCTAGATTCTGACAGTCTCAGTGTCTCTCTCTCTCTCTCTCTCTCTGTGTGTGTGTGTGTGTGTGTGTATGGGTGTGTGTGTGTGTGTGTGTGTGTATGTGTGCAAGCCTGCACGTGGAGGTCAAAGGATAAGTTTCAGGAATCGGTTCTCTCTTCCCCTGTTTTGAGGCAGGGTCTCTCGTTGTTTCTGCTGTTTGCAGCCCCTGCATGATTCTCCCGCCTCCTGCCACGTCCCAGGAGGAATGCTGGCTTTACAGATTTACTAGGTTCTCGACTGCATCCACCTTTCACTTTGGGTCTGGGCTGGAGCTCAGGTGGTCAGGCTCGCACGGCAAGTGTTTTTACCCATGGAGCCGTCTCCCCTACTTCCCTGGAATTCCAAACCTTGAAATGTTCTAGGGACTGGATGCCCAGGAGGCCTCTGAAGACATTTTAACTGCTATGGGTGAAAGACTCCCGTGGGCGTCTTCCTTCGGGAGAGACCCCGTGCCCAAAGATCAGTCGAAAACACGCAGCTGGATGCAAACAGCAAGAGGTTTATTGGATACGCAGGTACCTGGGGCGACAAAGTCTCTCGGAGGACTTGCGCGCCCGCAGGTTGGGGGTGAGGGGTTTTTATAGGAGAGCAAAAAGCGAGGTTTACAGAAGCAAGATGCGGGGTGGTAAATTCTTAACCTAAATAACAATGAGAGGACTACTCAGCGGTTTACTGCTCCTCTTATCCTGTCCCCTTTTCCTGGCTGGCGACCAGATGTCTGATTGCACAGCCCCTGACTCGTGACGAGCCCCGCTTTATACGTGACTCAGGCCTCGCAATCCTCTCTTTCTTTGTTTCTATGGCCAGTCCATAAATCCCCTGTCTTGTAGCCAGATAAGACTGTCCTTGCTCTAACCTCAGGTATCTTTGCTCAGCATTCCGGAGGCCCTGAACTAAGCTTGTTATCTGCTCAGCACACTGAGCTTGTTATCTGTGAACCTTTGCAAAACGGTATAACTGTGGTTAAAACGAGTTGGGGTCCTTCATTGGGATCTTATTCCCCACCATGACCCTGTCACAAAACTGTTAAAAT